TACCAGTGAAGTCACCAACGGTTGCATGGGTGAGTGTAAAGGAAAAAAAAAAAGGAAAAACAGTTTAGCCTAAATTATTTGAAGCATTAACAACTTGAAAGCAAATAAAAGGCTTGCTCAGGCACATATTTGTGCAGAGGCGAGCTCTCCTCCTCCACTTTCCCTTTCCTATAGCTAACTGTTCCTCTCCTCCTTCAGCCCTTTCTTTCCTCCTCCCGAGACCATAAGGATGCATCATACATCCTTTTCAACCAAAACCTCAAACCTTTGACTCGACCTGTGCTCTTATAGCTTCCATCATCTGTTGTTAGCTTCTTCAGTCTTCAATTTGGCTCCTTTCTTGGCCTTCATATAAGCCACTGTTACTTTTTATGCTTAAAAAGAGTAAACTTAACCTTTTTCAACTATTACATAATTTCTCCCTCATTTCACATCCAGTCCCTTGAACTTGAAGCCTGATCTAGCCACTTTTGATTCTCCAGTTCCTCCTTGATGTTCTTCATCATAACCACACCACAAAATTTAATCTCTCCCTGGCCCCTCTGTTCTCATCCTCATTGATGTTTCCATCTCTAGAGGGGACTCCCCTAGCAGCTAATCAGCACTAAAGCCTCCTACAGGCTTTAAGAAGGTAGGAATTCACCTAGAAATCACCTGCTATGGGCAACAATCAGCTCTGTCATCACCAGTCATCTTTAAAAAAAAAAAGAACAAACTTGGCCAGGATTGCACAGTCACCCACCATGTCCCATCTTCCCTTCGGGTTCTGGCTGGCCTTGATGGGCAGCACAGTCCAGGCTAAGAGGAATCAAGGGCTTATACTGCCTGTTCTCCCTGTGCCCTGACACAGCCCTAGGCTGAGAGTTTGCGGAAGTATTTACTCTTGCCAGCAGCCTACGTAGTTCCTTGTTCAATTGGTAGAGTGCTGAAAAAATGTATCTGGCAAGATGCCTATTTCCTGCATTCCTTAACCAAATCTGTCACTGTGACAGTCAAGGTGGAGACCTTCTTGTTTGCTTCTTCCCATAGTAATTCTGGCTTTAGGACAAGACCAGCTTCCACAGCTGCTTTATGTAGTAGAGGCTCACTCTGCTGCTCAACAGATGACTGCCAATACCATCTTTCTCAAACTCTTCCTCTTCTTTAAGAACTCTTATGTTTCAATATAAAACATGTAATATTTTTCAGCTTTCACAGCCTCTATATCTCTTCTTTTTCTGCTGTGATTCCAGAGACTCCATCTTTGGCTCCATCTTTTTTCAATACCTGCACACACTGCAAACAGAGATACAAAGCTTCTGTTCCTGGGCACTGTAATGTACTTCAAGATTGCAAGTATTCCTAACTTCCCATTTTTATTTGAGCTTTCTTTTCTAATGTCATCTTCTAAAGATTTGCTCCAGATTGAAAGAGATCAAGGAAACACTAGTAACTTAAAATTCAAACAGGAGCCCAGAAATTCTTTCCCTTACCCTTTCTGTCTAGGGTCTCTGACACATTCCTTTGTCCCACATATGAAAGCTACTGCCAAAATGCTTCCATTCCCCCTTTACTGTCTGTATCTTTGTCCCTGCTTTTATCATAGCTGCTAGGGCTATTCTGAATCCCTTCATTCTGGATTTCTCAACTGATCCATAATACAACAGCCCAACTTGTCTTCATTGCAGGTACTTTGACCACATAATTCCCCTTTCTCAGCTCCTTTTTTCAATTCTGTATCCCCTTCTGACTTTGCATACTTCATGGTAGTTTCTTTTGCAGAACCTAATCACTGAATCACTGGCTGCAAGTCACTTGCTTACTTTGCTCGCTTGTACAAAGTGCCTTCTTTCATATTGCACCCAGCAGTTTTTCAAAGCCTTCTCAAATTTTGTATGCAAACTTCTTCAGAGCTCTCCCAAAATTCATACTGCAGTCCAAGTAGTTATATGATGTGGGTTTGTTTTTACTAAGAAAGCAGAACAAATGCACACACAGGAAAAGCTAATAACGGATGGTTCCCAGACAATGGGTAACTTCACTGAGTTCCCTCTCCAACAGCACGTTATTAACTACCTCTACACCTTCTTCTCTTGTAAATTTGGAACAAAATCTTTTAATGACTAGGAGGAAGGAACTCTTTCCACTCTGTTGCAACTACATTTGCATGCCAAGGAAAGAATAACAGAACACGAAATGAAAAGTATGTTATTTACTGTACCGAGTCTAACACATAGCTAATGCACAAAGTTAATCTGGGTAATGGTAATACATGGATGAAAGCGGTATTTACCTGTATGGAAGGGAAGGTCTTATTGTTTTCAGTACTGTGTTCTCCTGGAATGCTGCCTGCTGATCTTCCCTCGCATTTATATCTGAAACGCATACCCCTTTGCCTGGGTTGTTCAAATATTTCAATGTAGGGCTCAGGGCCACCTTAAAACCAAAACATTTTCAATGTTAGCACACAGTAGAGCTTAAAAAGCAGCAGCAGATGCAAGAATTAGAATATCTAGACTCTTTGGTTGACATTACCATCTTTCCACTTGCTCTACCTTTTCAGACATTCTACTCTTATTCTCTTTATGTACATGCACACAATTGAGGGTGGGGGGCAAGGGGAGATACTACATTTTAAATGAAGCCTCAGGTATGAATGTCATCTAAGTAATTAGCGAAGGATGTCCACCCCTCCATCTCACCTAGAAATTAACTTCTTTTAGATATTACAAAGTATGTGTCTGATTAAAGAGGATTTTATACAACAAGAAACAAATAATTATTTTGAGCATACTTTTAATTATAATACACTTCTAGGAATGGCTGTCCTCCCTAAGTCAGGTACCATCAGTCCTATGTTCTCTTAAATGTCCTCTGAAAGTGAAGATGTTTCCTCAGAATTGATTGATTTAGTTCCTATTATAGTGAAGCAGAAACTATGCAAATTATGCAAAAAAAAATCTTATTGGCTGAATACCATCACTGTGGGCTCAGAAAATACCTCACTGCTGGTACTGAATTCCACATTTTGAGCTGCCTACCTCCCACAAAGCTAGCTTCTAGTTGCAGTATCTTCCCAGACAACGAAACCTCAGTAAAAATGATTCGGCAGTCATCAAAAAGCAGTTTTCAGGAAACATGAGTGATAGACAAGAATAAGAGACAGCAGAAGCCTTAAATAAGAAGGTTAGAAATACATTAACTTATCAAGAGTGTAAGTACTTCGCAAGTGATGTTTTATTGCCAGACAGTAACAAGCTATTTAATATCTCTCACTGAGAACATTAAACAGGATAGTCAATCAAACAGTGACAACAGTGGGATGCCATGTGAAAAACAAATAACAGAGAGTAAGTAAATATTGTAGAAGTTGAATCATCACGGTGCTGCATGATCAGAACAACATAGCTTATGGAAATGTCTGCTGAGCTCTCTGTCATCTTCATATAATAGCATCCTACTCAAGCACAGTTGAGCATCACAAACAAATATGACAGGCAATGTCCAGTGGCACAGCACGGAAAAAAGTGCTTGGACTTCAACATAATAAGAAAAACAGACATTAAATATATTGAAAGTGTTGAAAGGGTAACAGATCCCCTACTTCCTTTTGCCTGAGGTCTATATAGCCTAAGGTCCATAGCATATGAGTGTAGACAAAGAGGTGGATTCCAATCTTAACTTCCTAATTAAAGCTTCTCTTTGGTTGCACCCACAATGATGTAGGTATACCTGCCAACAAAGCTTGAACTTTATGCCTTGGATCTGTTGATGACAAAGCATTTGTGGTGCTGCAGCGGTTCACTCTACAGTAGGAAAACACTGTAACCAAAAAGATAAAGTAATGAAGAGAAATAGAGAAGGAATGGAAAGGACTACATCTCCAAGACGTCACCTTGGTCTTACCTGAATGCACTTTTCACCTGTAACACACCTACAGACAACTGTGCAATGGCAGCCTGAGAAAGCAGCTCTGATGCTGGAACTGTCTTCAACAATTCATGCCTTTTCAAAACCTGAATGCCTTTTAAAAAGGCACAATGCATTTCAACTCCAGTCCCTATTTGGTGCCAAACATTTGAGAACTACAGTTTAGGAACCCCTCTATTCCTTCCCAAGAATTTATCAAAATGGAATATCTAAACTGACCACTTCCCATCAAGTAGATTTCAAATCAGTTTCTGAAAATAGACCATGAGCTGTCACATTAAATACACATCAGTCATTACTCTAGGTCCAGCTACTTACAAGGATGTTCCCTTTTCTAGATACTTCCCAGATCTTATCTAACCCTCCTTTAGATAAACTTTGCACATTTTCTCTTTCTGGAAAATAAGCAAGTCCAGTAAAGGGTAGGTGGGATAGGCACTGATAACAAAAAAGCCTAGAAGTGACATAAAGCTAATTTCAAAGAGAGAGTGTAACTCTGAGCTTCTCACCAAGCCAAGCTCACACATGGCTATTTAACTTTCACATTTAAAATTGCTTACACTGTTGTATATATCAGCACAGTCCAGTGGACCAGATGACAGAGGGCTTCTGCCAGCAGTGAGGAACGACTGCTGCATATCAGTCAGCCTCCCATTTTCACCATCTCCAGGCAATGGAGGAGAAAAAAAGAATCTCACCTTTCCATTCCTATGTAACACACTATGCCACGAATATCCATACACACAGCCATATATCCATATACTAAATGAAAACTCTATTTTAGAAGTTATAATGGCAAAATTGCAGTGAGGTGCCTTCTGATCAACTTACTTTGGAGATGCACATGCTTATGTAGCTGCTAACCAGATGCACAGTACACCCACATACATTACGTATTTGTCAAAACTAGCTAGAGCCTTGCTGTTCAAAACTACTATAGAATACAATCACTTCAAGTCTTTAACTCTCTCTGCTTTAACCAATAATTTCCCTTCATGCTCTACTAATACTTGCTTAAGAGGGCTTTTTTCTCACCCATTAAGAGCACTTTATTTTAAATCTCTGGGTTCAGTGATCTTTACGAAGCTGTGGTTGAAACAAATGTCATTGAAGGCAAACCCACTGCTTAACAGCAGGTGCGTTTGTGGGAAAGCAAAGCTCAATGACGCAGTAGCCTCAAGAGATTAAATATTAAACTTAATTTTATCTTAGTTCTCTCTTACTCTAAGAATCACGTTATCATCTCTACCATGATTATCAGTGTCATTGTGTCTTGTGTGGAGAGGAAACACATAAAAGCATTTGTGCGAACTAAAAGTATTATCAGCGCACTGCAGTGAAGTGAAGGGCTGTTCAGCATTTCCCGTTTCTATAAATCAGCACTGTGCTCTGAAGTGGCATGGCTTAACTGTTTCACAATCTGCACTCACACACAGAGGTCTGTTAGTTCTCACACAGTGGCTGAAGACCTGTCCTCTCCAGGTCTGCTGATTCTGGAACAGAAATGCAGGGCTACTCATATTATCTACCTGCCCACAACTTTCCAAAGTGCATTTCAAATGGAAAAAAAGCAAAAATGTAGTTAATACTTCATCTAAGTGCTTAAGAGTTTAATTTGTATTTGTAATTAATTATAATTGCCTACACACATACTAGCAATAAAAAATATGCTACATATTACAACCTGTCTCTTGTTCTTTTTGTTATAAAAATGTTTATTCCCCTTGTGCCCCAAATACCACACTAAATAATTAAAAATATAGGAGACCAAGTCTCCCAATTACACAAGCAAAATAGGTAAATGCAGTAACAGCTCCAAGAGTTCAGCCACTTTATACTCATTCAAGAGCTGAAGGTTGCTTTATTCTAATCTGTTTTGAACAATCTAAAAAGGAACAAAAGGACAATCCCAGAACTGCAAAACAACACTTCCATCAGACCTCTTCACGATAAGAAATCTGGGCCAGTTTAAAGTCTAACATGGCCTGTGCCATTAGAGAGGAAATGTGACATGCTGCCACCAAGCAAAGTGACAATGGCATCAAGGGTTCATGTATTTTGTCTCGAAGGGAGCAGGCTCTGGAGGGACTACACAATTTGTCATTTGCTTGCACAACCAGGAGAAACCACTATGAACAGACTCTCCAGCAACATCTGTGTGTGAAAGCAAAGTAGCCGTGGGGCTTTGTGTAAGATGTGAAAGTATCACCCGAAACTCTATGATCTGAGGTGACTTCAGTGAGACACAGATGGAAGTGCTGCCCTTCAACTTTGATGTCACTGCTCTGTACAGCTCACTGGTGACCCTACGTCCTCCAGAGCAATAGTCATTTCTGAAAAACAAGAGCAGACAATCTATTCGCTTATAACCTCCTGCAATACCTCAGGCAAAAGAGGCTACAGTGGAAGATTTGTTATAGCACATTCTAGCTCAATCTAAAATAATCAACAGCGAAAAAAAATTATTTTAGAGAGCTGTAATCTACCTAGGACTCCATAAACTGCAAAGTCTAACAGAGAAACAAAACTGCTCGTGAACTTCCTCTTTACTATCATGTTACATTACAGAACAGCAGCCCAAAAGAAAAAAAACCAAACCACCCAACAAAACTACAAAAGCTAGCTAGTACCAGGAAGTTATGAACTTCCTCTACTGAAAAATTCCTTATCTGGTTGCTAATTACATTGAAAATATATTAATACATGAAGAAGAAAAAAAACTATTAGCCTGCTTCAGTTTTGCCACTCTAAAATACAAAGCAGCATTTAAAAATGCCTCTGTACAAATCCAGTTGTTTTCTCTCTCTGTTGATAGCTAGCACGCAAATACATTTAACAGGAATGACAGTACATCTTTTTCTAAGTGGTGACTGAACACACATGGCCCTAAGTTTTGAGGCTGGAGAGCATCTTCCCCTAGAAACGCTATGCTAATTAATGCTACCAAGTCTTAAGTTTGGGTGTTTTTCTTTTTAAACCCTAGGAAAGATACCAGAGAAACACCTTCTGAAAACATGACAAATTCAGTTTAACTTAGCCTAAAGAAACTTGATTGTGCTTTTTATTGTAATTACTCAACACATGATCCCATACCTATGTTATTTTACATTTATGCCATCTCTGTTTCTTATTCATTTGCATTCTCATAGGCAAGTTCCTATGTGCACAGGATCAAAAAAAATGAATATCAAGAGTCTTTGGCCTATTGACATCTCTAGCCCAGATACATGTGCTTATTTAATGCCTAAACATTTTAATGACACAATTTCAAAACCTAAAAGATCCACTTTGAAACTTAACAGCTTGATAAAATCTTGTTGCAACTCATCTGAGCAACTCCGTGATGACTCTTCCTGAACTTTTTCCATAAGCCTACTTAACACGCCACACGGACATGGATTTAATATCAAAAGCAGATACTGGGATGACGGGGTAAGAGCACCGTCACTCGCCTGTCTCTGCCCGCCTACGGGCTTAAGTCAATAGGGAGAC